AGTTTTTTCTTTAATTTAATAACTGAATGCCATAGATTTGACAATCTGTTGATTCAGTAATCCCTGAACCTTAATAGGATAACAGAATAACACAGTTGGAAGGGACCTTGGAGGTTTTCTAGTCCAACCCCCTGCTTGGGCAGGAAGCCCATCCATTCTAGACAAGTGACTATCCAGTCTCTTCTTAAAATGTTCCAGGAATGGAGCACCCACAACTTCTGTAAGCAAATTGTTCCACTGATTAATTGTTCTGTCAGGAAATTTCTCCTTCATTCTAGGTTGGTTCTCTCCTTGATTACTTTCCATCCATTGCTTCTTGCCCTGCCTTCATATGCTATGGAGAATAGTTTGACCCCTTCTTCATTGTGGCAGCCCCTTAGATATTGGAAAAGTGCTATCAAGTCACCCTTAGTCCTTTTCATTAAACTAGACATACCCAATTCCTGCAACCATTCTTTGTATGTTTTAACCTCCAGTTCCCTAATCATTCTCTGCACTCTTTCTAGATTTATTTTAATCCACATTTTGCTAATATATCTTCTTCTTATTTTCCAAGATATGATGATATTATATGATATGACATTATTTGATTCTGTATGAGAGACAGTGGCAAGATTACTTGGAAGTAGAGTCTCCTTGCCCCACCGTTTAGAACAGAAATGGAAAATACAAAGCTCCCTATGATAATCTGATGACATCGTCTCAGTTGCAATCAGATTACTGCAACATGATGTATGTAGAGCTGTCTTGGAAGAAAGCTTGGAGAGTAGAGGTGCTATGAATGTGGCTGCTAGGTTATTAGGTAAGTAAGTTTTAGATTTTGGCAATCACTCAACCAACAGACCTCACTGGCGCATAAGACATTTATAAGCTAAGGAAAACAGGATAAGAAAATTCTGCTGATGATGTTACGTTCAGAAACTAAATTGAAACAAGCTTGAAGAGCAAACCACTGCCCACTTACCTCACTGATAGAGCGACTCTGGAAAGTGTACATTTTTTTTAAAAAGCCCTCTAAAAACTTTATATGTTCATAAAGGTTGCAATTTGCTTCTTTATATATTAATCAACAATTCCGATCCCATTGTTCTATAGATGGTCACCTCTGTACAAAACACTACAATAAAACCAACATCCCATCTCTCTAAAACTCCTCTGGCTTTTTCTCTTAACACCTCCATGTGACTCTGCAATAATAATCAAATCAACCAAATCCATAGCTTGTCATACCCAATGTACCACCATTTTTATCTTTTTTTCTTAAAGACAAAAATATTCTTGATGGAAAAGAAAAAATCTCTTTTATATAATGGAAAGAAAAGTTTTCAAAGTTTGAAGTCCAACAAGGAGATCTTGCATAGGTTAAATTGAACATCAGTATAACTATAGCATATATTCATTCATTTGCATTACATAACTTCATTTCTTAAATTATTTGAATTACCATGAATAACATTTATAGACAGGAAAAAAACTCGCCTGGGGCATCTTGTAGACATTCAAGATGTTTGCCACATAGGGACAGATGTAAGAGTTAGGTCCTGCAATAACAGATACTGCCCAGTCCTTGGCATCACACTTATAGTTGGGGATGAATCTGCCACGTGTTGAGAGAAGCTCCATTGAAGCCAAGTAAGTCAATCCCGCCATGGAATAACCGTTAGAGATGTCAGTACCCAAGCTCATGTTGGATAATATATGCTTATTTTCATTTATCTCCTTTACAGCAAAAACCAAGGCCAGGATATGTTGGTAGTTCTGCAGGAAAAATCTGCAATGAAAGATATATTGTGTGGATCTTGGCAGGATGTTATGATTCTTTTAATTCATCATAAACAATTTTTACTAGAAACAGATAAATTGCTTGAAGAAAAATGATCATATTAAAACCCATATATAATTCTTATATATATATATATATAGCCTTATATTTTTATCTTCTTCTTGGGTATGTTTTATGGTGGATATACGCATGAAAAGTGTGTTTGGAGTAAACTTGAGGACAAATGTTATATATTATTTTTTTCTGGGATAACGATAGACCTTATCCCAATAAAAGTCACTGATGTTTCATTAGGGCAGAGAGGCTCTAAGTCTGTGTTCCATGCATGCTCAGCAGATGTTTGGAAAATAATTCAAAGCATGCAACTCTTCCCTAATATTAAGTGAAAGAATTAAATGAGTAACATAGATTTAGCTACAAATAGTACAGCACCTTAATATTACATCACTAAAGATTCATTTACTGTAACACTAAAAAAACAAGAAAATCTCAATATGAAATTTGAATAGAAATACCAGTGGGAGAGTTGTCATAAGTGTGTTTGTGTATTTATTTGCCAGGACAACCCATTAGAGAAAGATATATGGTTTAAGATATGCTATAGTTAAGAAGAGAAATTCTTTACATGAGCTCATCAACCATTTCTTCAGATGGGTTCCTTCTGAAACCAACTGGATCCGATATCATGTAGAACTGAGAGAGTATCCCAGCCATTATGAAATCTCCTGGCAGAAAATACTTGTGCTTAATAAAGGGAGGTTTCCCCACAGAACATGCTTTAGTGCACAGAATAAGGCATGTAGCTCCTGACAGTAACATTGACAACATTGCCATCACTACCATGGAAAATTCCATCTTCTTCAAGAAAAAACTGTTCACTACATAAGAACCAGTTCTATCTGTAAGAATGAAAGATAAAGGGAAAAAACTCTCACTTATTAGAATAAATATTCTTTCTTAGAAGAAAGGTTGTTATATCTCTAACATTCTGATCCCACAATTAACAGACCCTTTCAATCTTGAGCTATTCTTTGGTGGTGTGCCTGAGAATTCCTGTAAGAGTTGGGGAAAAAAAAACACATTAGTAAGATTCTTTGGGTAATTATAGGGGGAATCAGTGAATGTTTGGTGAAGCTCCTTGGAGACTGTGGAGAAAGTAGAATAATGATATGTATGGGCTAGGGGAAAAAAGAGCTCATAACTAAAAAGTGTAAAAGAGATAGAGAAAAATACTGAAAATTCAAATGAACAAATGCTAGTTCTGTAGCTGTAAACTTTAAATTCTCTGGAACGATACAACTATCTGACTTTGACCTGTTAGGGAGTACATTAAAGCATGATATTTTTTCCAAAGAGCTAAAAAGAAATTGACCCATAATGTTATAGGATCCCGCCCACCTTTATTTATCTTTTTGATAGGTCTTTAAGCACTTTGATTATTGTATTTGTAATGTAATTAAAAGGCCTGGAGTAACCTTGTCCATGGGGTCGTGATGGGTCGGACACGACTTTGCAACTAAGAGCAACAATGTAATTAAATCATGACATTTCTTTTTAAGCTTCCTAATGGAAGCAGTGCAGAGTCCTTTGAGATGGGAACAGTGTGTAATACCAAGTGAATATGCAAATAATAAAGGAATACCATTGGAAACAACTTTTTATTTGAGCCACATTTACAAAGTGAATCAATCTCAAAATAGAATGTTCTAAGTTCTAGGAGGACCATATTTTTCAATACTGTTTTTATTGCAAAGTAAAAATATAGCTTGGCTCTTTTCACTCATTTTAAATGATTTGTTACTCCATATCCTCAAAGTCACATGGGGTGAAACATATTTTTTTTTCTGGCTTGATGAGTGACATGAGCTACCACCAATCAATTTATCCACCATTGATATTTTATAGCTTTGCAACAAATCTCTTTATCAATCCTATATGGGAAATGAAAAAATAATAATCTACCAGTCATACGACTCCTTCCTCATTAATTGTGAAATTTGATTGCTGCTACAAATGTTGCTTTTTTATGATATACAAAAACATAACCTGAATCAGTTTCTTTGTAGTAAAGAAATAATGGTCACTTAAAATTATTTATTTTTACTTTGTCCTATACCAGTATTTTTTTGATCACATGGATAAATAAATTGAAGAATATGATAATATACAAATACTAAAATAAGAAATTCACTTATTTATAAAAATTAAATCCTTCCTTCCTTCCTTCCTCCTTCCTTCCTTCCTTCCTTCCTTCCTTCCTTCCTTCCTTCCTTCCTTCCTTCCTCTAGGACCCATCAAATACATCTTCCTAGCAAATAACACCCATAGTATGCCACTTTTTTGAACTGATGATACCTCGTACTGAGAATATCACACAGTGAGGGCCAAAGGCAGTATCTCTTTGCCAATCACCACTGTCTGGAATTTAAATCAGAGAAAGAAGGCAAACCAACAAAAAACAGTGCTACCCACACTGATCCTCTGAGTTTATATAAAAGGGTAGAATGTTTGTTGGTTTTGAAAGCCACTTGGATCTAAAGAGGAGGTGATTAAGGACCAATCCATTTTCTGAGGCTCAATAGATTCAAATTATTCCCAGATATTGAAGCCAGACTGCTCCACAGGCATTGGCCCCCTGGATCTGTGAACAAATTACAGCAACTTTGTCTGATAGATGCTAATATAATCAAGAGATGCATGCAGCAACTCTACAAGTGACAACTCTGAGCTACAATTCTCTCCATTTATCTCTTGATATTTAAATATTCTGCAATATCAATAAATATTTAATTGTTTATGGATTGTCTCATTTAATATCCACTCTTTAAAAGACCAATTGAAGTTATGATGTTATTGAAGGAGCAGTACTTCTTTGAGATCCTCATAGTTGTGTTCATTGCAGTTCCATGATCACAAAAATAAAATTAAAATCTTGCCAAGGAAACAGGAAGACATGTCCAGGCAGTCATCTGGAGTCAACAGATTTTCAACAAACATCTAAAAATGGAGATCATTACACGAGCATAGAGGCAGTATACAAAAAAATAATTATAAACTCTTGATTTATGGTTATAAACCTAGGCACATTCCAACATTAGATAAATATTTATTTTGTGCATTTGTGAATCTGTCTCAGTTTTCCCAAACTGCAAAGACTAGCAGAAAAAGGAAACACAACAGTGAGGAGAGTTTACAGTATAAGTTTAAGAAACATAATTCAGTTTTTTTTAATAAGTTTGTCCTTTCTGTTTAAATCAGGTCTCAGAAGAATAATATAGCATTTTGGGAAAAAGATACAGCCAAGCAACCCCATTGCTGAAGCCAGAATAGAGAAGATCTCCACCACCACCATGTACTTTCCCTTGGTGCTCAGATAGGTGGGAACAAATGTTAACCAAACGCTGCAAAACACCAGCATGCTGAAGGTAATGAATTTGGCTTCATTAAAGCTATCAGGTAACTTCCTAGCTAGGAAGGCTACCATGAAACTGATAGCAGTTAAGAACCCCATAAAGCCCAGAACAGTATAAAACATGATGGCTGATCCTTCATTACATTCTAGTACAATTTCTTCAGCCATGGAGTGTGTGTCTGAATCTGGAAATGGGGGAGAAATTGCCAGCCATGCAACACAAATTGTGACTTGTATCACAGAGCAAGAAAGGACAATGGAGTTGGCAAGCCTTTTTCCTACCCATTTCTTTATTTGGGATCCTGGTTTGGTGGCCATGAAAGCAAGAACCACTATGGTTGTTTTACCCAAAATGCAAGAAATGGCTATAGAGAAGATGATGCCAAATGCAGTTTGTCGCATGAGACATTTCACTTGATCAGGTTGTCCAATGAAAAGAAAACTGCAGAGGAAAGATAGCTGGAGAGCAATGAGAAGAGTACAGGTGAGATTCCTGTTGTTGGCTTTGACTATGGGGGTTTCCCACTCTTTAATGAAGATCCTCAGCACCAAAGCTGAAGTTACGAAA